GAATGTCAGCAATTTCCGTCAATTACTTCTAGAGTTATGATCCTTGTTTTACTTTGTTGAACCTTGTGAGTGTTCGAATGACAAAAGTTATCATCCGATCTGTATGAAATTTATATGCATTATTTGAATTAGTAAAACGAAAAGTCTGTCAAATTTCAACAATTTCTGTAGATTACTTCCAGAATTATGGCCCTTGTTTTAGTTTTTAGAACCCTCAAACAACGAAAATTATAATGTCATCTGTATGAAATTGTCTATTAAATGCCCCTAATTACCTACAAAAGAATAAATATGCGACAACCTTTTTCGACCGCTCAGACGATTTAGCTGCTGCTGTGGGCTGCTATTGAATTTTAAACTGTTTCATTGTTCAACTTATAAGTACATGTAAATCTTTCAACCATTTCTGATAATACTGATTCTAGAACTATTGCCCTTCTTAACCTTCATGAAATGTTGCCAATGCACAAATTATAGAATCTAAAGATTTTTTCTTGTGGACCAAATTGAAATTCACTTAAGAAATATTAATACATCATGTTAAGTCATCTTATATTAACGGCCTGGACAACATATATCTTTGTGTACATACATGTAGGTTTTAAAAAAAGAAAACTTTTTATATAATAAATATTACCACTTCACAGAACTAAAAGCTAATAGAATATTAAGTATTTCTTATAATTTCTTCTTTGGTTATTACTTTTGATCAATTTTTATACGCCCACATTGAAATGTGGTCGTATATTGTTGTCGCCCCCGGCCAGCCGGCCGTCTGTCTGTCTGCGGTCCGGCATTCAAGAATTGCTTGTGGATGCTTTATAGGCTAAAGTTAATATCCGATTGACTTTAAATTTATACAGTGTTTAAGGTCATGAGATGAAGAAGCCAATTGATTTTCAACAATTTTCGATAATTACTGCCAGAGTTAAGGCCTTTGATCACTTCAAAAGATCTTGTGGACGCTCTAAAGGTCAAAGTTAATATCCGATTGACTTTAAATTTATACACAGTGTTTAAGGTCAGGAGACGAAGAATCCTATTGACTTTCAACGATTTTCGATAATTACTGCAAGAGTTGTGTCCCTTGATCACTTCAAAAAATCTTGTGGATGCTCTAGAGGTCAAAGTTAATATCCGATTGGCTTTAAATTTATACACAGTGTTTAGGGTCATGAGACGAAGAAGCCTATTGATTTTCAGCGATTTCCGATAATTACTGCCAGAGTTATGGCCCTTGATCACTTTAAAAAATCTGACTTCAGATTGATACACAGAGTTTAAGGTCTTGAGACAAACAAGTATATTGATTTTCAATGAATCTTTTTGACTTGAACAGCTAAATCCAGGATGTTAAAAGTTTCGTATACTAAATATTAGCATGGGGCAGAACTTTATAAAATCCAAACAAATTCTAATGGTTTTCTGAAAATTACTTAATGAGTTGTTACTCTTAATCAGATTTTAATGTATTATAAATGTTTCATTACCGAAAAAAGGAAAAATATGCGACAACTCTTGTTGACTGCCCAGACGATATAGCTGCTGTGGGCGTATGTTTCGTTGCCTGGCAACCTATCTTTAATGTATGCTCCAATTGCCATAACCTACAATAAAATAAATATGCGACAACCTTTCCGGAATGCTCTGACGACTTAGTTTCCGTGGGTGTGTGTTTCATTGCAGGACAACCTATCTCTTTATTCTGGACGGAAAAATGTGGGTTAAACTTAATTAGAATTCAACTACATGTGTAGAAAATCAGAGATTAAAGTCCATTATTATTTGTATGTACATGTATGTCCATTATTGAACTGAAATCTCAAGTAAATCTGAGGTTTAGACTATCTCTGAGTAACTTTATTTTTTTTGTAAAGAAAACTGGATAGATGTATGTATATAATATAGGTTAATTGGATGCTTTGTTATAAGAGCAGTAATCATGTCTTTTGACCTACTAATAATAGTTGTTATACATTTATTCATAGTCTTTCAGTTTTCAGTACTTTCCTTTCTATGTTATTTGACCATAAACCATGGAAACACTATTATTGATCATAACCTACTTCAATTAATAGATGAAGAAATTATTTTGGTGATACACCAATAGTCATATTTCTAAATGCATACAGATACAAATTTACCTGTTTTATTCATCCAAATCTTATTTATAATCACAAGTGATTTTTTAAATACTCTAGTAACTCAGATGTTATGTAAAGGTGTTTTCTTTTTTTAGAATTGAATTGAATATAAAAACAAATCCAAAATGTCGACAGTTAATTGAACAAAGAGACATAGAGATAGGGAAACCTAACCTTGTAAATTGTGAACTTAACTATTCTAAATAGCCTTGGGTGGTATGTCTCTCTTAAATATTTGTTAGAGTTGAATGATAATTTTTGTAGGTAGGAGACTCGGAGGAGCCAGACTATTGTTCCATCTTAACACTGAATGTTTTTTCATTGGAGATAATTTTAGCCTTTTTTAAAAGCTTTTTTTGGATTACGAGTGAAATTTAGCATGTTTAGAATTGCCACAGATTATTATACATATATATAGGCTATGCTATATAAAACATTTCCTTGATATATTTTATTTTATTAACAACCATCAGACATCTTTCCAAATCTGAAAATATTTGATTAAAAAGTACACAGGAAAAAACCCATCTATATTCAGCATTATGATCTTCTTAAAGTCTGTGTGTGTAGAATTGAATTTAATTGTTGTCTAGAAAACAGTGTTGTGTTCAAATAAGAACTTGTGCAATAGTTTTATGATCAGATATTAATATTTTTGTAGAACAAATAAAGTATTTTGTACACTGTAGTAATAATATGGTCTACAGATCACACAAGATTATAAAATACAGTTGGTTACTTTCAGTAGACACACACCCCTGATTCTTATGTCTCCTGTCTGTCGCTTGATCTATAAGACCTACAGCTTTCATACACCTCTTTTCTGCTCTATTCACAATATAATAAGCTTTGTTATGTGGAGGAGAAAAGGTATCTGTGTTCAGATATACTAGCTCTGATGTAGTCTCCATGTTTTTATTACCTAAAGATCAGAGTATAGGTCTTGTTGAGTTTTGTTCTCTTAACAAAATGTCAACACATAGTTAGTTTGTTAACATGAAAAAGACTGTTTGTTCAACCTAATTCACATTCTTAATGTGTTTACAATGAACTCTTAAAATGAAATGATTTTTGCGGCTTTCAGTGTTTATGGCCACTTGCTAATGTATATATATTTGTACTTTGTAGTCAAAATATTATACACAATCTTTACACTTTTACACATTTAAAGATATCAATGTTCTTTTATGTCTTTAGTCTGGATTCTGAACCAGTTATCTGTTTATTCAAATAATGAATGTTAGTTTTGGTTATCTAGCACAACATCTGGAAGAAATGTAAAAAAAACCATGTCCATCTTGAAGTTGATAGATACATGTTCAGTAAACTGCCAACGTGTGTCAATATTTAAAGTGCCAGTACTGTATATTTATACACTTATTATTTTATAGCCACTGACTTCTATAGAAAGGAACAGTTTTTATATGTCCACATTCTCATGTGGACGTATATACCGTATTGTAGTCACCCATGTCCATCCACAATTTGTTTGTGGACACTCTACAGGTCACAATTTTCTAATTTAGACGAAACTTGAAGTATAGGTTTATCTCCAAAAGATCTCGGTTCCCTTTCATATTGGCATGTATCGGACCGTAACAACATGGATTATGGCCCCTGATTGTACGAAAAAATCACGTATTCAGCTTGTGCACACTCTAGAGGTCACAATTTTTACCTGATATCGATGAAACTCAATGTATGTTTACAAACTGAAGATCTTCGTTCCTTTCGATATTGTCATATATCAAATTGTAACTTCCTGGATTATGGACCATGCCATCTTGGCCTTGATGTTTGTTGATAGAAATGAGTTACCATTCCTATGTACATGTATGTATATAAACGATTAGTAGAAAGATGAAATCAGTCGAATTTAATGCGAACTACAGATGACCATAACTTATAATAGGGGTGATCAATTTTAATAAGATTTTTGACTGATATGCTTCTTAAAACCTTGTATTGTGTACACTTCAAGATTCTAAATTTTTCCTTCTATTCTGGAATATATTACCTTTAATTATTTGTAAAAAAATAGTAGTTAAGTTTCATGTTTAAAGTGACTATTAAAAATATAATTGAGATCTACATTACAGCCACAACACTACAATCATCTTCCATTAAAGGACAATATTGGTGTCAGTCATTATCACATATGTGATAGAACTAATTAAACACGTTCCAAATATAATTTTAACACAGAGATCATTGCTACGATAGCTGAGTAATACAGGTTTCCTGAATCGGAAGTGACGAACGCCAAAGGAAAACACAAGTCATACCTCTATATAACTGACTGATGTGACGAGTGATAACAGATACACAGCCGAATTTCTGCTCACTAATAATTCCTTCCAAGACCTAAAGTTGTTGTGTGAGACTGTGAGAGGATATCTGACAATTCATAAAAAGAATTGACTGCCACTAGATAAGAGAACACGAAAGAAAAACAGAAAAAGTCTGTGTTAAAATTATATTTGGAATGTGTTTAACCAGCTCTATCACATATGTGATAACGACTGGCACCAATATTGTCCTTTAAGATAAAAATTAGCGTAACATATACTTCAAACCAAATTTTTAAGGTTTCAAAAAAAGTTTAAAAAAGGTACCTTTTCTTTTTAGAATATTTCTTTTATTAAAAGAGCAATAGTGCGCAGTGCTTATAGTGCAGGATTAACAGAGGGTGGAATGCAGAGGGTTAAAGATGGGGTTTACACATGTAGGTGGTTTGAGACTGAATAATAATATAATGATAATAATAACTTTTATTTCAAGTCCAAAAATAATCTCTTTCATATAGATTTAATAATGTATTTGATATTAATTGATCTGTTGTTTTTTTTTTTTTAGTGTAATGGAGATAAATCACCCCATCATTTACCTAGAACAATCAAATGTTGTGATGATAGAGATGAATGTAATCTAGATTTAGAATTAATATTAACGGAAGTCACAACACCACCTTACCCAGGTAAGTACAGGCTAGGATGTCACTTCTGTTTGTCCAGTGCCCACTTTTGCTGGTGGAGGACACTCTACAGGTTAAAGTTATTGTTAGATTTACTTGAAATTTATATACAGTGTTTATGTTCATGAGATAAAGTGACCTATTGCTTTTGAACAATTTCTCATAATTGCCTCAGAGTTATGACCCATGATCAATTTAAATAATATTGTGGACACTCTAAGGCTGAGGTGGCTTCAGAAGGTTCCACCCCAACATACACCACCCTACACCTCCCCCCGTATCGATTGCTTAGACGATTTAGCTTCTGCGGGTGTATGTTTCATTTATTTTTTTGCCTGGCAACCTATTTTTTATATTTCAGAATATATGAAACCCCAGAAATATGAAAGTATTACACAAATAGCCTTACTGATATCTATTACAGTATGTCTAATAATACTGATAATAACTGTTACATTTGTATATCTCAGGTAGGTCATTTCTAAATTTCTAGGAATGGATTTTTAGTCTGCTCCACCCCACGATGAATTCTTTTCATGTATCTTATTACAAATAAAAACCTAGATGTCATTTGATTGATTTGTTTGTGGATGTCATATTATCAGACACTGGTGATTTGAAAAGTCAAATATTGACTTAAATGAAATTGACTGAGGTATGTGAGTTATAAACTGTTGTAAGATGATGCAGTGGCTCTAATTGAAGTCTTTTTTTTTTTCTTTTAAAGAAATATAATTTCGATAAAATTTATGGTTTTTGCACGCCTGCATGGTCATATATTGCCGTCACCTCTATCCATCCAGGGGGTGGATGGCCGAATGGTTAGCGTGTGCACACTGCATCATAAGGTCTGTCATTGAGTCAACTGGTGTGGTTTCAATTTTCGGTTGTACATAACAAGGAGTTGGGTCGCCTGTCCAACCTCGTGGGTTTTCTCCGGGTCCTCTGGTTTCCTCCCACTGCTAAAGATCCTTATTCACAAGCGAATTATTGAAATAAAATTGAACCATTATCCCAAAATTACCTAGTTTGTGTAGAATGGACGTTAAACCCCATTTCTCTCTCTCCATCCGTCCATCATCCGCAATTTTTTGTGAACACTCTACAGACTACATTTATTATTTGATCAGTTTGAAATATATTGTTTACGTTAGTGAGACAAAGTAGCCTATTTGATTTCAAGAATTTCCGTCAATGACTTGAAGAGTTACACATGGTCCTTGATTCACTTTGTTGAACCTACTGAACGCTCTAAAAACTAAAGTTATCATCCTTTCTGTTATGACACTTATCATTATTTAGATTAGTAAAATGAAGAAACCTATTGAATTTCGGTTAATTACTTCTAGACTTATTGTCGTATTGATCCTTTACTGGATGATCATTATTGTAATATAAGTCAAGTGAGACGGGAGTTATCTACCCCTGCCTACTCTTCACTGTAATATAATATTGAAGTTAATAAAAGGCACACACACTTCGGAGTGTGGTCGAACCACGAGCATGTCTTGTTAATATATATAGGGGGGGGGGGGGGTTGAGATATGAATATGACCGTCCATCCACGTGCTGATATATAGAAGGCATCTAGAAGGTAGTGATCCCAACACAACATGGTGGAGATGCCGAATTAATGTAGAATTAATGACGAATTAATGCTGAACTAATGCAGAATTAAGAAGAGATTTTTTTTATTGAAACCAGACTACGTAGTAATGTTCTACATTGTGACCCTTGTTTCGCTTTGTTGAACCCCTTGTGAATGCTCTAATGACAAAAGTTATCCGATCTGTATTAAATTTTAAAAAATTATTGAGATTAGTAAAACGAAAAAGCCTATTGAATTTAAGCAATTTCTGTTTATAACTTCTATAGTTAAAGCCTTTGTTGCACTTGTTGAACCATGTGAACATTTGATCTGTATGAAATTGATATCAGTGTCTTATAAATGCTCCAATTACCTACAAAAGCATAAATATGTGTGACAACCTTTGTCGACTGCTCAGACGACTTAGCTGCTGTGGGCGTATGGTTTTCTTTGCCTCCCAACCTATCTTTATCTGACATCACCCAATCAATCTGAAAATCCCACCACAAGTAGGTTCTAGAGACTGTGTTTAGCTCAGTAAAAGAATGATTCCTGTTTAAGTTCAATAATGTTAGAAAATAAACTGAGTTTTAAAAAGTTATGAACATCTCTAAAATTTGTGTCCCAGATTATGAGACATTGTTAATGATCAAGAGATTACCATTATTAGATCTTTATGAAATTTGATCTTTATGACATTTTAATATGTTATTCAGATTGGTAAAAAATAGGATAACTGCCAGGGTTATGTCCCTTACTACGGAACTTTTATTACACTCAAGACTACAATGCTACAATTATCAGACAATCTTTGATTATTTGTTCAACTATTTCTGACAGTAATTCTAAAATTATGAAATTTTGCTGGATGTGTTAAAGATGCCTTCCCGCATAAAAATTGGGTGATTTGATGATATATTAGGGAAAAAAAACATATTCAAACTAATTAATCAATCAAAAGTTTGCTTCATATCCCTCTCAAAACATTATATATAAAAAGGTCTATTTTTAGAAGCCATGTTTGTTACGTAACTTGATTGAGGAGTGCCCATTTTCAGAATGTATTTGTCGTTACTTACTGTCCATTTGCCATACATATTGAAGCCTAAGTGAATTCTTGGATTATCTTCTGTCAGCTTCTTTTTCCTCCATTTAATTGCAGGGTCTGTTGTACTTTTAAGCCCCATAATGTTCCCAAAATCGCCTAACCATTCAATCAAGAAATAACATCCACTCCCTAAGTCAAGCTGGCAGACAATAAGCTGTCGGGTTGCCAGTTAGTGATACCCCAACATTTTTGCCCAGTGAGTGTTTTTCAGGGAATCCCGTATTTTTCTAGTATGATTGGGAATATCAAGTTTTCATTTATACCAAATTTGCCATACTTTTATTGGAAATAACTACCTTATAAATACTTTCGTGAGAATGTATCTTTAATGTTGTTAATTTGACATTTTTAAAGATATAGAAGAAGAGAATTAGAAAGAAGACAGATACTAGAAGAAGCTGAACATGAAAACTTTATAACTAATGGTGAAACACTATCAGAATTAATAGAGCAATCACACAGCTCAGGTAGTGGCTCTGGTCTTCCATTGTTGGTATGTATTATACAGTATTCTAAAATTGTGCTTAATCAATTCAATTATTGATTAGCATTATCTCTGGAATCAATGTCAATAAATTTTTCACATGAAAATTTTGAATCTGGTGTTCTACTGTGTTATTGTTAGGTCTATACCTTGATGGAGTTCGAAGATGGGCATTTTCTGCTTAGGGTAAGCAGAGATAAGCAATTTGATTTGTTAATGATTTTGGGCATGATAATTTTGGTTATAATTAAGTGAGAGCTATGAAACTCAGTGTATAGATTCATTATATCATTGACTAAGTTCGATGATGAGAATTGTATGCTTAGGCTAAGGGGCGATAAGCAATTTGATTGGTCAAGACTTTGAAACATAACATCTATTTATTTTGGGATTTCGGCGGGAGACATTAGCCTCACTGTTGGCTTGTTTCTATTAGTAATAAGAGTTCTGATTTGATCAAATTTTAGTTTTGATACACTAAGCAGAATCACAACCCTGGCTTTATCTATAAACTTAAGATTTTCAGCAGAAACAAATATAAATCCAGTGAAATTGATGTTTATAATCTGGATACGGTATTAAATTGACATTTTGTTTTGTAGGTTCAGCGAACAATAGCTAAACAGATACATCTAGTACGAAGTGTTGGTAAAGGTAGATATGGGGAAGTATGGAAAGGTAAATGGAGGGGTGAAAGTGTAGCTGTTAAAATTTTCTTCACAACAGAAGAAGCTAGTTGGTTCCGTGAAACAGAACTCTACCAAACTGTTCTGTTGAGACATGACAATATTTTAGGTAAGTGGCTGACATTGCATAAAAAAATTCTGGTTAAAGATTCCTTTATTGTGTATTGTCGAAATAGCTTTATAACATAGCTTAAAGCACTACTTATTTCGTCATATACTAGTTGTAGACAAAATTGTAAAATAATGAAATAATTATAAGAATGATATATTAGTTACCATTTGGGTATTTGGTTTATACATTTATCAATGTTAATTTTAGTGCATGTGGTTTCCAAGGAAATCATCTCCTACAGATGATATATTTGTATCCGCTGCACACAAAAATTAGAATTCTACAGAAATAAAGTGTTAATGAAATGAAAGCAGGAGATTGAAGGGAAGAGTTATGGAGATAAAGCACTGATTGTAGATGTTATTGATTTTTATGTTGGATTTTGGCGCCACCAGTCTGCCATAGTTATTGATTTTTATGTTGGATTTTGGCGCCACCAGTATGCCATAGTTTACCTAATAAATTACATGGAAGATTATCAATAATTCTTTGATATACATAGCATCTTAATGATATCTGAATCAAGTTTCACTTTTAGATGTATTATGCTAGTACAATATTGACTGTCTATAGTGGGGAACAAGTATAATTTTGATATTGAATGTGAACATTGTCTGTATTTGATGGATATGTAGTATATCATTAAATTTTATTGATAAGTACGCTTATTGAAACAAGCCAAGTTCTGTTCTCTCCATTTCTCTTTCATACAAAGTTCTTCTCAACCTGTAAGTCAAGTCAATGTCATGGTTTTGATGGAGTGAGTTTTCTCCAAATTCACAGTTTCCCCGGTTATAGATCACTTTGGACTAATACGTCAAGGGTTTAATTGATCTCAGGACATGCCTATTGCACATCCTCTAGATTGAAACAATTACATAAAGACAATTATTGAAAATTGGATAAGCAGAATAAATCAATTTACGGCTATTGTAAAGTAGGCACAGTATGAAACATGAAACCAAATAGGTACCTATTGTAAAATGGAATGAATTTATCTTTGTACAATCCATATTTGTCTAGTCTATCTGTATGTTTAAAAGAACACCATGTACAAATTACTACAAACAAAATTTTATTATTAGATATTTTTCCTCTTTTTATCTCAGGCTTTATTGCAGCCGATATTAAAGGAACTGGATCGTGGACACAACTATTTTTGATCACAGATTACCATGAAAATGGTTCACTGTATGACTATCTGAAATCACATAACCTGGATACATCCGAGATGATTGCTCTAGCTCATTCAGCAGCATGTGGTCTCTCACATTTACATACAGAAATATTCGGAACTAGAGGTAAACAATTTTATACTAAGTTTAACTGAATTTGTATTAATCTCTGTATACATCAAGTAATTCACTGATATGACATGAATGATTCATTTTAAAGAGAGTTTTTCATTAAAATATAATGAATGCACTAAATATGTTGCTTTTGTTCAGAACGTGGCTCGGTAAGGTGCTAGTCCACTAATTAGGAGGTGCCAGGATTGAGAAAGTTCTTACGATTTTCTGGTATGGTTTCCCCCTTGTCATTTATCTATGTAAGAAAAGAGCCTGGCTCAAAATAAGAGTAATCTATAGTGCTACTGTCCAGATCATAAGGTCTGTCATTGAGTCAACTGGCGGGGTTTCAGTTCCTCGGTTGTACCTGACAAGGAGTAGGGTCGCCTGTTCAATCGCATGGGTTTTCTCCGGGTCCTCCAGTTTCCTCCCACTGGGGGGTTGGTTTGCTGAATGGTTAGTACATGCGCCCTGTATCATAAAGTCTGTCATTGAGTCAACTGGCGTGGTTTCGATATCCCGGTTGTACGTGACAAGGCCAACTTCATGGGTTTTCTTCGGAATCCTCCCACTGCTAAATTATTGTAATAAAATTGAATCATGTGTTGGTCCCGAAATCCCCTAGTTTGTGTCAAGTGGATGTTAAACCCCATTTCTCTCTCTCTCTCTCTCTCTTTTCCTCCCACTGCTAAAGACCCCAACACGCAAGTGAATTTTTGAAATAAATTGAACTATGTTTTCGTCCCGAAATGACCAAGTTTGTGTCGAGTGGACGTTAAACCCCATTTGTTTCTCTCTCTCTCGCTACTGCAAAATTTCCCGCATAGCTTACTGTATGGCATATGCTTGTCTTCATTAGCCCATTTGGTGCAGAAATTTAAACCCACTTAAAGATACATTATGTAAGATTTAGATAAAGAGCTAGCCATTCTTGCTATAATAGTTCAAAAATAGATAATGTAAAATGAATAATTTGAAAATTTCATTCAAATTACTCTATTGCGAGCGAAGATATTAGCTTTTGAAGGTTTGACACGACCTGTGTAAAAATTTCAACCACCATACTGGTTGTTCGAAGCTAAGTCTCGCTCCTCCATTTTTTAGCTTAAATCAAAATATGGCTGAACTGTTCTAATATATTTAATATCAGAGAAATCGGATGCCATCGAAAGTTGATTATTGCCTGGATAAGTTAATTAATGTCTAATTAATAATTTAGAAAACATTCCAGGCCTAAAGAATGACCTGCAATAGGCAGATTTAGCTCTTGCATAATGTATGTTTAAAAAAACAATGCTCATTAAGAAAGAATGAAAATGTCATACTAAAATAAACTGGTTCTCAAGGAAATAGTTTATACAATGAGGAGATTGTTTTGTCTTTGTTTTTTGTTTTGTCAAAGGATCACTGGCTCAAATGACTTTCTCACAAACATCACATTTCAAGGTTCTACATTTTGTTCATTATGTTATTTCTTGTGTTACATATGTTGAGCTGAATACAAGTTTATTTACAAACAATATCTAATTGTCGTTTTGATCTTCGGATATAAGCACAGATTTTGTAGTTCTAATAGATGAATAATGTTTCTACCATCACCCATCAGCATAAGAGTACTTTCAATCTTCTTTCGTATTACTACATGTAAAATACACTTATAAAATCTTTAAGTTTTAAGCAAAAAAATAGATGATTGCCATTTGCTTATAACCATGTGTCGACTTACTATTGTCCAGTGTCATTTATTATTGTCAATAACATTTATCAGGGTTATGTACGGGACCTTATGATCTAAGGGAACTAACTCTAGTTGTTGACATAACTTATTTTGCTATTTGTGTAGGTAAACCAGCCATGGCTCATAGAGATATAAAGAGTAAGAATATATTGGTTAAGAAGAATGGTACATGCTGTATAGCAGATTTAGGTCTTGCTGTACGATTTATAAGGTAAATAAACTAAAAAATATTTAAAATTTGAAATTCAGATTGATATAAAATATTTCATATTGTCCGTACATTAATGTAAGACACATTATCACAAAACTTATATGAATATATAATCATTGGTTTGTTAACATGTCATCTTTCAAATCACTGTTTACATTAATCAGTGTCTTTTACCTTGCTTTTTATCGCCCTTGTGATGTCCACAAGGGATTCAGAAAGATTAGGTACTGTTTGTTGCGAATCTTCACGCTGAAACGTCATACATTATATATTGTTTGAAAGCTTAATTGTTCATCTCTCAAAAGACATAGCAATGACATTTATATGGCTAGGTTGGGCCCAAAACAATACCACTTATCAATATCACATTTTGAAATAGTGATGAAACTTGGTTTATGGTTTTGTTACAGCAATATCATGACTGAGTTTGATGATGAGCTTTTTCTGCTTAGGCTAAGCATGGATAAGGAATTTGATTAGTCAGTGATAAGGAACATGATAAACATGCTCTGAAATAAGCAGCCGAACACGGACAATGGCCGGCCGAATTGACCCCTTTTGACAGGTTGAATTGCCTTTCCTCCGGACATGATTGTCTGACTGAGTTTTTGTAAACAATTTAGGCAAAAATATTAATTTCCATTCACAAAAACAAGACCTATCCATTCGAATCGATTGTTAATTATTAGACACGAAAATCCAGAACCCAAAATGCTGTATGTGTCATGTATTGGCAATAATATTAACGACCCAAGTTATAGTGAAAACCTCCAATAAGTTGTAGCGGTACTGTATATAAGAAGATTGATTTTTAACACCACCGTAGCAATCTTTTGCCGATGTCCACATCTTTAAGTCAATGTGGAGCAGGGGCGCCGGAACCAGGATATACAAATGGTACCCTGCGCTTTTCTGAGGTATACATGTATACCCATGCCCTAATAAGATTATCGTCAACACTTGCTCCTGAATATGAGCTCTTGCAAGAATCACGTCTCTAAATCTACTGTCTCGTTCAAAAAGCTTATCCTATTTTCTTGATAAAGATTGGTGTTAAAAGAATTGCTCATGATACGAAAATTGTGAATAATCAGGCTTTTGTCTCTTTCATTATCATGTATTTTAAAAGGTTTTATGTTGGAATTTGGAATGCTAGAGGTGCTCTAAACAGCGTTTTCGGAATTGACAAATTTCAAAATTTCTAGAGGACAGGGGAACAGAACCCCCCGGACCACACCCTCCTATCTTTTAGTACCCTGGCCCTCATGCCGTTCCGGCGCCCCTGATTTGGAATATAAGACGAAGGGCTGACTCCGCGGAAATAAGTATCGACCTGTACCCCGAAAAGTGCAGTACCATAATAAAGATTAAACATAGTAATTTCAACAGTTTTTTGGGGGGGAGGGGGTATAATATACTTACAAAGTATTTGTCTGGCTGAACCTTAGCAGTTATTTCAAGCCTCGATGATAACTCAGATTCGATTTTAGTGAAAGTAATGAAACTTGATGTGTAGTTTCATTACATCAATACCTTGACTAAATTCGGTATTGAGCATTTTCTGTTAAAGTTAAGCTGAGTGGTAATTAATCTGCTTGAAGCTTTTAAAAAAGATAATTGTAAAGTAAGTAAAGAGTTTCCTTGATTTAATTTAGAATTAAGGTGGGGAAATCAGTCTCATTGCAGTTGAATTCTTTTAACTGACAATTACTTATTATTAAGTAATTTTATTTCTATATGTAAAATTTGTTTACTGACAATTTCTTTGCAAGTTACAAAAGGAAATTTCAATTGGATATTGTTTGCTAAATCTTTGTTACTCACAAGTACTTTGTACGAAGTAATTTCAATTTGACAGTGTTTACTAAGTAATTGAAATGAATAATTTTGTAGTGAATCCAGTGAAGTTGATCTAGCACCTAACACTCGACAAGGAACGAAACGTTATATGTCACCAGAAGTTTTAGACCTAACATTAAACAGACATCATTTTGATGCATTTAAACAAGCTGATATGTATTCATTTGGTTTAGTTCTATGGGAGATTGCTAGACGGTGTATATCAGGAGGTAAATATAATTGTTTGTAAGCATTCCATGTTTTAAAGTGAAAGTCTTTACGTAACATAACGGTAGGAATCTGAATGATAATGGTTATGGTGAGTTTGTATAAACATACCATATATGAAACTCTTTATATGGCCTTTGATGCTGTATAGACAATTGGAGGGGGGGGGGCAAGTGGTTTAACACATGCGCGTGAAATCATAAGGTCTGTCATGGAGTCAAGTGGCATTTCGAATCCCTGCTTGTACAAGACCATGAGTAGGGTCACCTGTCCAACCTGATGGGTTTTCTCTGGGTGCTCCAGTTTCCTCACACTGCTAAAAAAATCCTACGTGCAAGCAAATTATTGAAATAAAATTGAACCATATGTTAGTCCCAAAATGACCTAGTTGGAAGTGAGTGGACATTACACCCCATTTCTTTCCTTCTGTCTCTGGGGGGATGGATGGTCGATTGGTTAGCATGTGCACGCTGTATCATAAGGTCTGTCATTGAGTCCGCTGGCGTGGTTTCGATTCCCTGGTTGTACATGACAAGAAGTAGGGTCACCCGTCCAACGTCGTGGGTTTTCCCCGGGCCCTCCGGTTTCCTCCCACGTAACGGAATTACATTTAGAGCTATTTGGTACTGTAAAACAGCTTACAGATTTTTACTTTTGGCTTCTTTGGTGTCAGATTTGTAATAGAGTAAGAGCTAACAGGCATATCATCTCTAAACAATGGACACCATGATTTGCTACGTGAATGTATAAGGTTTCTGTGTAGGTGAACCCAATGGTAACAGAATTACAAGTCGAAAACCTTTCATTTAGTTGGTTGTATAGTTATTTAAGAAACTGTGATTTATACAGAGAGATCTACATTTCTTAATAGGACCTGCGTAATATTTCAGCTCATCCATTTTGCAACCTGTCCGATAGTTTTGTGACAAGAGATACACGTCATGGTAACGGAATTACGTTTCTAAATAAAAGCATTATATCACTGGTTTATCAACATAAAATATTTCGAAAAGAGAAAAGTTGATATAATTAAACAATTTTGAGAATAGTTCAACAATAGTTATAATTATATTTTGGTATGAATTAAGTAAATCTAAAGGTATGGCCATAAGATACACATAATTGTAACTCCAATAATTAACTTGATACAAATTACAGTTTAGTTTAAAATGTAAGATTATGAAATACTAGTAACATAAAAAAATCAGTTCAATTTAGCTGATTGATTTTTATACGCCCACATTGAAATGTGGTCGTATATTGTCCTCGCCCCCGTCCGTCCATTGGTGGACGCTCTAGAGGCTAAAGTTAATATCCGATTGACTTTAAATTTATACACAGTGTTTAAGGTCATGAGACGAAGAAGCTTATTGATTTTCAGTGATTTCCGGTAATTACTGCCAGAGTTATGGCCCTTGATCACTTCAAAAAATCTTGTGGACGCCCTAGAGGCTAAAGTTAATATCCGATTGACTTTAAATGTATACACAGTATTTAAGGTCATGAGACGAAGAAGCCTATTGATTTTCAGCCATTTCCGATAATTACTGCCAGAGTTATGGCCCTTGATCATTTCATAAAAGCTTGTGGACGCACTAGAGGCCAAAGTTAATATCCAATTGACGTTAAATTTATACACAGTGTTTAAGGTCATGAGACAAAAAGCCTATTGATTTTCAACAATTTCCCATAATTACTGCCAGAGTTATGTCCCTTGATCACTTCAAAATATCTTGTGGATGCTCTAAAGGCTAAAGTTATCATCCGATTGTCTTCAGATTGATACACAGAGTTTAAGGTCTTGAGACGAACAAGTATATTGATTTTCAATGAATTTTAGTAGCTTGAACAGCTAAATCCATGATATTAAACGTTTCGTATACTAAACGTTAGCATGGGGCAGAACTAGGGCTGACGGAAAATATCGCTATTGTCGGTAAACGTTTTGATAATCGGTTATCGATACAGTTTTAAAACATTGATTATCATGCAATTATAGGTACTTCACTTGTAAGAAGAAGTCCATAAAAATAATCCTTATCACTGTATTCTTTGCAATGTGTGTTTGGGCCTAGAACTGTAATTAAACAGAAAAGTCATAATAAAACACACACGTTTTGTTTTTTCACACGAGACGCCACCGGTGAGAAATGTTGGCCGCTTATGTAATGATGAGAGCCAATGGTTTCATGTAATATTCAGTTATGCCCCTTATTTTAACTCTTCATTTCTTTCGTCTTCTATGTTTCTAAGTCAAACACTACTTTCCCATTATTATTTTATCAAGGAATTTGCGAAGATATGTCTGAAGAGGAAATAACTACATTTTACACATTATTATTTAGGTCATAAGTGACAAAGATATGGCGAGCGGTGGCGGTTCTGTCTTCCAAACGAAGTTGATCGAGTTTCTTTCTACACCTTCGTTTTGCTATGGAATGCTATTATTTTATTGTCAAATGTCAAATAAATGAAAAAAAATTCTACATGTATACAGAATGATATCACAACATAAACTTGCATATAATTCGTTATTCATGTACAAATTATGATTGTTTTCAAACCAATTGTAAGTCAAAATAATTTACTGATATTATCGATTATTGATCGGTGGATGGTCAGCGATAATCGATACTTGAAACAAGAGCGATTGCCAGCCCTAGGCAGAACTTTATAAAAACTAAACAAATTCTAATGATTTTCTTATAATTACTTAATGAGTTGTTACTCTTAATCAGATTTTAGTGTATTATAAATCATTAACATTAAGCTGTTTTTCATAGCTAATTAGCCCTAAATGTAATTCCGTTACCTTGTACTAGTTATTAAAGCACAAAAATGGTACTACTATGTCGGTATAATTAAATTATTAACAAAAATAAATTTCAAAACAAATAAACTTCATAGATTTAATTATTTTAATAAGATATTATTGTTTCCGGAAAAATAAGAGAAGGCCAGGTACTGTCAGATTCTGACAGCATGAAAGAACTTGAGTCTCAGCAATGTTACTGAAAAGAGTTGGCATAAATGGGTCTAATGTTGTATAATTTTTATACGCCCACATTGAAATGTGGACGTATATTGCCGTCGCCCCCGTCCGTCTGTCTGTCGTTCTGTCCGTCTATCGTCCACAATTTCTTGTGAACGCTCTAACGCCAAAAGTTATCATCCGATCTTTCTGAAATTTACATGCATTATTTAGAGTAATGGCCCTTGTTTCACTTTATTGAACCTTGTGAATGCTTTAACGCCAAAAGTTATCATTCGATCTTTGTGAAATTTATATGCATTATTAAGATTACTGAAACGAAGAAGCCTATTGAATTTCGGCAATTTCCGTTTATTACGTCTAGAGTTATGGCCCTTGTTTCACTTTATTGATCCTTTTGAAAGCTCTCACGTCATAAGTTATCATCTGATCTTTCTGAAATTTATATGCATTATTTAGATTGCTGAAACGAAGAAGCCTATTGAATTTCAGCAATTCCTGTTTATTATGTCTAGAGTTATGGCCCTTGTTTCACTTTATTGATCCTTGTGAACGCTCTAACGTCAAAAGTTATCATCAGATCTTTCTGAAATTTATATGCATTATTTAGGTTACTGAAACGAAGAAGCCTATTGAATTTTGGCAATTTCCGTTTATTACGTCTAGAGTTATGGCCCTTGTTTCACTTTATTGATCCTTGAGAACGCTCTCACGTCAAAAGTTATCATCCGATCTTTCTGAAATTTATATGCATTATTTAGATTGCTGAAACGAAGAAGCCTATTGAATTTCAGCAATTCCCGTTTATTACGTCTAGAGTTATGGCCCTTGTTTTACTTTATTGATCCTTGTGAACGCTCTAACGTCAAAAGTTATCATCCGATCTTTCTGAAATTTATATGCATTATTTAGGTTACTGAATGAAGAAGCCTATTGAATTTCAGCAATTTCCGTTTATTACGTCTAGAGTTATGGCCCTTGTTTCACTTTATTGATCCTTGTGAACCCTCCAACGCCAAAAGTTATATCTTTGTGAAATTTATATGCATTATATGCAATTTCGGTCAATAATTTCTAGAGTTATGGCAATTGTGAACGTTTGAATGACAAATGTGATCTGTATGAAATTTATATGCATTATTTAAATTAGTAAAACGAAAAAGCCTGTCAAATTTCAACAATTTCTGTAGATTACTTCCAGAGTTGAGACCCTTGTTTCAGTTTGTAGAACCTTGTAAACCCTCAAACGACAAAATTTATAATCTGATCTGTATGGAACTGACTTGTAAAGGACCCCAATTACCTACAAAGGAATAAATATGCGACAACCCTTGACGACTGCTCAGACGATTTAGCTGCTGTGGGCGTATGTTTTGTTGCCTGGCAACCTATCTTTAAATAAAGTGTTGCTTTTAAGTTTATCCTTTAAATAATATATAATTTTGTTATTATAACAATAGAAATAATGATATTGTGATATTTGTAATTCCATTACTGCTTAGATTGTAATTCTGTTACCACTGTTCCAAGAAAAACACTTCATGCAAATGTCTGATTCTTACCTTTCTTATATTTGTACAATTAGTAATTAGAAAATTTGGAAACACTAACTTATAAAATTTGGCGATCAAGAAATGATTGAAACTTTTCGATAGGTATGGTAACGGAATTACAGTGTAAATTGGGGCTATATTTTAAAATAGCTAAGTCTCTAACTCAGAATCATCCAAACTCTTCAACATTGAAAACACAAATTATTTGTCAATTTAAATCAACATTGATGTGGTGATCTTACCGGGAAAAGATGGGCTTCTGATATCCAATATTTAAGACAAAATAACCATTTTACCATTGGTACACGAATCGTGTACCATGATGCGTTTCAGCGCCATCTGTAACAAGGGACTCGAAGAACGAGGCTAGACATATTCCACAAGTCATGTCAAACGGTGACACCATATTTTTATCTGGAGAGCATGCGCAATAAATACTATAGACCGGAATAACCAGATGCTAGAGATTGCCATTCAGTTGACACTTCTGGCGTATTTTGCCGAACATAACTGATTAGAAATTACAGTAACAGAAACGACTGAATGTAAATCAGTTTATACACATTCATATTCCTTTATTATATGCGTTGCGACCCATTTGTGTCCATTTCTAGATCCCAAATATTAGCGATTTAGCTCCTTTAAAGTGTTGTATAAAGAATATGATATAAATGGATGGTTATGATGAAATAGATGTACTTCTTTGTTAAAAACCCAGATATTAAATATTTTCGATGTAAAAAGAAACTGATGCTGACCTAAATGTTTAAATTGCAAAAATTGTAGTCTTGACATTGACATAAGTTGGGTTTTTTTTACCAAAGCATAACTCTACCAGATTCATTGACTGGCATCATTTCTGAACTTAAATAACACAAAATTGGTTCATATACATCAATTTTTTTTTTTGGGAATATTTTATTTTCTTCCGCGGAATTTCCCCACTACGCGCAAGCGAATTATTGAAACAAAATTGAACCATATGTTAGTCCCGAAATGACCTAGTTTGTGTGGAGTGGACGATAAACCCCATTTCTCTCTCTCTCTCTCTCTCTCTCTCTCTCTGTATAGACAATTGACTGACGCTATTCTATCCAAATGAATATTGTAATAAATTGCAAAATACTAACTTTGTTTACCTTGAATGTATAATGATTAAGAATGTCTATTTTACCAGGTATTGTGGAGGATTATCAAGTACCATATTATGATTGCGTACCAAGTGATCCAAGTTTTGAAGATATGAGAAAAGTTGTTGGTGTAGAAAGAATTAGACCAAGTATTCCTAACAGATGGCATAGTGATTGGGTAAGTTAATACTCCCCAAATAATTTATAAGTAATTTAAAATGTTAATCTTGAGTTTTATAATTGTTAATTTTAACGAAATCACTGTTTATATACATGTATATGACTCTGGAAATTTAAGCTGTAGATCATGATGAACTGTTATAGCAGTCTGAGCAAAATGAGATCACAATGCAGCAAATGTTGTTATTGTGTTCACAGTGCTTGGCAACCAGCTAGACAGGCAATGACCTCATTGAGAATCTAACTGGAATTACTTCCTACTAATTGTAGTATTGTCAGTCATTGCCAGAATTTCAGAAGTTAATTTCTGATATTTTATTGACTTGGAAGAAATGTAAAAAAATAAAATTACCTTAGTGAGCTCAGGGGATAGCAGTCATGGCTGACTGGGAGGTCACAGTTCAAATGGTTGTGTTCCAACAATTAATTCTTCTGGATTATTCTGTCAAAAAATAATTTAAGAGAATTGAGAGTCAAAATGGTGTAAGTCAGACCTAAATGTATCTTGTAAGTTCATCTACCAGTATACTCATTTCATTCTCATAATTATCAATGGAAATTTAACACAAGGATTATTTGAATTCTGTCTTCCAGGCATTGAAAGTTATGTCTAAAGTAATGGCAGAGTGTTGGACGCATAATCCAGCTGCCCGTTTAACAGCATTACGTGTGAAGAAAACGCTGGGAAAGATGAACGACAATTCAGATGAAGGAGATAAATTATGACCTTTGAACTGCTAAATCCACGAAGATACTAAAGGTGTGACAACAGTAAAATATCTTTCTTTCAAAATCACACTGCTGATTAATGGCATCAAATACGTGCTCACATCACCTCCATTAAATCATCATTGTTGTATATATAGTCATTTTTATAGTCAGTAAGTTCCTCTTACAAACATTTATATACACCTAGATATGTTGACAAGTTAACCCCAGGGGTTCATCACCTTTATAAAGGTCATCTTTTGTATTGTAATTGTATATAAACTATAAATATGTATGTAGAACATCATTGTTTATATAGGCAGTCAAATTTTATGTGAACTGAACTGAAATGTAATCAGTTTTCTCAGGAATTCTATTCATTAAACCCTGAAAGCTTTATTTTTATTCGAGCAAAACTTCAGATATTCTGGATACTGGTATCTAATTATTAAATGACAGTCATTATAAAGTCTGCATCTAGGTAACTTTTCATATAATGATCACAAAATGTATTGTATACCATTATACACTGCTTGCCATAAGGCACATTCGGGTTTTTGAAAGAGTCAGATTTAGACATGGTGAGATCCTTAGCAATATATAGATTGGAGTACTGCCTTGGAGGTTCCTTATTAAAATGTAGCACCAAAAGGATTCCAAGAGGTACTTACCAAAACAGGACCTTCGATCATCACCAAAAAAATATATGTATATGACTTAATTATTTGCTAGTATGGTATTTAGAATGAAAAAAAAAAACAATATTATTTTCAAATGAATGCATTTACTGATAATTTATCATTTGACTGACTTGATCTTTGTCATAGATTATAATATATTATACACTGAAAAAAACAAACTTGTATGTAATTTATAAAATAATTTTAAGTTGCTTTAATATATAAAATGCTGACAAATTAAGTAATTGGGACGACTTTTATTCATATAAATGATAATGAACTAGTTTCCAAGATCAGAAAACTGATATCAAATACAAGGTAAAAAAGTTTTGAAAGCAAAAATATAAATCAGAAATTTTATCAGGCCAAACACTGTATGTTGTTTAGCTTATGCTTAAATCCAGCACTGATTGTCAGCATTATATTAAATCCCAGGTGTATAATATATTACAAGTGTTTCACGTAAACATTGTGGTAGTTAAAGGGGAAGTCCCATTAGTAAAAGACTGCTTTTATTTATGGTGCCTGGTGAATCTGAGACAGCCTCTTTAACGGACCCCAACATCTGCATTATAATGAACCGTAGTGTACTAAGACTGTAAAACCACAAATTAATTCAAGAAGTATTATAAAGTGTTGCATTAATTTTTAAATCCATTTTTATACGCCCAAGTGGAAATGTGGTCGTATATTGCCGTCGCCCCCGTCCGTCCGTGGTCCACAATTTCTTGTGAACACTCTACAGACTACATTTATCATCTGATTGTTTTGAAATTGATATATGTTGTTTGCATTAGTGAGATGAAGAAACCTATTTAATTTCAATAACTTCCGTTTATTTCGTCTTGAGTTATGGCCCTTGTTTCACTTTGTTGCACCTTGTGAACGCTCTAACGACAAAAGTTATCAACCGATCTGTATGAAATTTATATGCATCATTTAAATTAGTAAAACAAAGAATCCTATGGAATTTCAGCAATATCCGTTAATTACATCTAGAGTTATGGCCCTTGTTTCACTTTGTTGAATCTTGTGAACGCTCTAATGACAACCGTTATCATCCAATCTGTTTGAAATTGATATGCATCATTTAAATTAGTGAAAAGAAGAAGCCTATTAAATTTGAGCAATTTCCGTTAATTATGTCGTGAGTTATGGCCCTTGTTTCACTTTGTTGTACCTTGTGAATGCTCTAACGACAAAAGTTATTATCCAATCTGTATGAAATTTATATGCATCATTTAGATTAGTAAAACAAAGAAGCTTAGTGAATTACAGCAATTTCCGTTAATTACATCTAGAGTTATGGCCCTTGTTTCACTTTGTTGCTTCTTGTGAACACTCTAACAACAAAAGTTATCAACCGATCTGTATGAAATTTATATGCATCATTTAAATTAGTAAAAAAAAAGAAGCCTATTGAATTTCAGCAATTTCCGTTAATTACTTCTAGAGTTATGGCCCTTGTTTCACTTTGTTGAATCTTGTGAACGCTCTAATGACAACAGTTATCATCCGATCTGTTTGAAATTGACATGCATCATTTAAATTAGTGAAACGAACAATCTTATTGAATTTCAGCATTTTCCTTTAATTACGCCGTGAGTTATGGCCCTTGTTTCACTTTGTTGTACCTTATTTATGCTCTAACGACAAAAGTTATTATCCGATCTGTATGAAATTTATATGCATCATTTAGATTAGTAAAACAAAGAAGCTCATTGAATTTCAGCATTTTCCGTTTATTACATCTAGAGTTATGGCCCTTGTTTCACTTTGTTGAATCTTTTGAACGCTCTTATGACAACAGTTATCATCCGATCTGTTTGAAATTGATATGCATCATTTAAATTAGTGCAACGAAGATGCCTATTGAATTTCAACAATTTCCGTTAATTACACCATGAGTAATGGCCCTTTTTTCACTTTGTTGTACCTTGTGAATGCTTTAACGACAAAAGTTATTATCCGATCTGTATGAAATTTATAGGTATCGTTTAAATTAGTAAAACAAACAAGCCTATTAAGTTTCAGCAAATTTCCATTAATTACATCTAGAGTTATGGCCCTTGTTCACATTGTTGAATCTTGTGAACGCTTAAACGACAAAAGTTATCACCCAATCTGTATGAAATTCATATGCATCATTTAAATTAGTGAAATGAAGAAGCCTATTGAATGTCAGCAATTTCTGTCTATTACTTCTAGAGTTATGGCCCTTGTTTTACTTTGTTGAACCTTGAGAACATTCGAACGACAAAAGTTATCATCTGATCTGTATGAAATTGATATGTATTATTTGAATTAGTAAAACGAAAAAGTCGAATTTCAACAATTTCTGTAGATTACTTCCAGAGTTACAGCCCTTGTTTTAGTTTTTAGAACCTTGTGAACCCTCAAACAACGAAAATTATAATATCATTTGTATGAAATTGTCTATTAAATGTCCCCTAATTACCTACAAAAGAACAAATATACGACAACTCTTGTCGACCGCTCAGACGATTTAGCTGCTGTGGGCGTATGTTTAGTTGCCTGGCAACCTATCTTTGTCCTGTAACATAAGAAGAATATGGACATAACAATATCACAGTCAACAAGGAATAATGTGATGGTAGACTAATTATAGTCATTGACACCAGTGATGTCATTGACTAATGTCTTGCTTATGTTAAAATTACAAAAAAGACACCCAGGGTACAGCAGATCTGGTTAATTTCCTGGATTTCAGTTACAAAAGAAATCCTACTTCTGCATTTAGTCTTCAATTGATCAATAGCAATATATTCACACTTATTTTTTTAAACATCTCATGTATAAAATTATATATAATTATATAAAAAGGGTAGTTTAAGGTTATGATAATATTTGTCTAAAATTATAGAATAAATCATATAAAGAAATCACAATGCAAATAAGAGAAATCCACATTTTGTTTATCATACTCAATTAGAATTTCATTTACCGTTAATATTAAATAATAATAATAACGTATTATTTGACTTATATCTTAATATGTAAGATGTTCATATATAAGAATCATTATTTTATTTTTGCTTCAAGGAGCAGTGATCAACTTTTTTATAATCAAAAATTACAAAGCATTAATTAATCCTCGGCTGGATTGATAGACAAGTCTTCATTCGTTGTAATTATTTAATGTTATTAAATCATGCGGGTATTTTTTTTTTTTGTCTGTTTATTTACATGTTATTTAGTTTTCTAAAAAAAACTTAATTCATGAAAATACAAGTTCTAGTATAAATAATGGTTTTTGTATTGGCATTTATGTGAATATTTTTCTTTATTTAATCGTTTTGACACTAATGCTTCCATTATTTTTCTGATCTTGAATAATACACATACACTCAAAGCCATTAAAAACGCAATGCCAAATTCAAAGTTTATTTACTGCGACAACTTTTAACAAATGTACATAACAATTGACAAAATTGAGATAACAAGCATCTGTGGATAATTTCATGAAAGAATTCACTACAAATGGACAAAATCAAAGCAGGGGTCAGCTGAAGTCAATATCGGGTATGTCCACCCTGAGCTCTTACACATACTTGAAGTCGCCTTGGCATGGACTCGCACAGATGTCTCACTACACGCTGTGGGATTGTTTGCCAATGATTTTGGAGTGCCTGTGCCAACTCTGCAACAGTTCGTGGTGGCACGGCTTGAGTTCGAACCCGTCGTCCCAGTTCATCCCAAGGTGTTCGATCGAGTTCATGTCGGGAGACAAAGCGGGCCAATCCATAACACAGACATGATGATTGTTCAGAAAGTCTCTTGTCAACCTGGCAGTGTGGGGTCGGGCCTTGTCATGCTGGAAAACCATCTGCCGACAGACCCCATGTTGAGCCAGCAATGGAAGCAACACCAGACGAAGTATGGCGTCAACATAATGTTGAGCGTTGAGATAACCTTTGACCACCTCCAACTGGGACCGGAAGTTGACGTTGATAGCGGCCCAAACCATCACGCCACCTCCCCCAAAACGATCCCTTTCCAGCACACAGTTACGAGCAAAGCGTTCATGTCGACGTCGGTAGATATGGTGACGTCCATCAGGAAAACTGAAGTTGAATCGGGATTCATCTGAGAAGATGAAATATCGCCATGGTGTGTTGTGCAGAGACCCCTAATTTGCGGCCCATTGCTGTCTGGCAAGTCGATCACGATGCAAAAGAATTCGACCAAGAGCAGCCACGCACCTTCGGACTGTTTGAGGGCTGATCTGATGTTGCCATGTTCCAACAGTTCCCCTGGCAGTAGGAGTAGCTGACTGGAACCTGTTGCGCACATGCTGTAGTTGGATGTGGCAATCTTGAGCAGCGGTTGTTACAAGTGGCGCTCCAGGTTCAAACCCAGAACTCCACAGAAAGAAACCCATCAAAAGTTTCACCTATGTGCCATAAGATAGGAAAGCCCAAGAAAACGTTTACCAGAAATATTTCACGAATTAGGCATTGGGTTTTTAATGGCTTTGAATGTAGTTAAATTTATTGAGATTTGAAGTTTGGTTATTTTCAGACTGTTTTTTTAAAATAATATGGTCACAAGACAAACACATGTACATCACCATGGCTTTTGCATAGAAATTTTTCCAGACAGACATTTTTGTTGACATCACACTAGTAAGAAAACTGTTATCTAGCTTTTAAAGACACGATATTCCAGACTATATTCCAGACTATTCGGCAAATATATCATTTTAGATAAGAAGCAATAAATAAAAGCCCTGATATACATGCCTTTTAAGAATGGCTATTGTTTAATTACACTTGATTAGAATTATTTTGTGCCAAATACCAATTAGTTCGGTGGTTTTGCCTCTTTAAGGAGGAATGAGAAGTTTGTTCCCACTCATTAGAATCTTAATTAAATGTGTATTTTTGTGATTTTGTTAGACATTTTTACTTATTTTCTGCTCATTTCGTTGAACACCTGGAAGACCATCTGAAATCAAAAGACTTCGACCTAGGAATTTCCTTAGTGAAAGTTTGCCCAGAATAATTTGATAATTGTTACACATTGCCCTAGTGTTTTATTTTTTTTTTTAGAAATTATTGTACATAATTCATTTATAATCAAAACTTATGAATTTTATTTGTGGCATTATACAATATTATATTTTATTTTGTTTATCGTTTTCATATTATATTGGATTTAATACAAGAACCTCATGTTGATATCATTGTTTACTTTATGACTACTGGAAGAGATTTGTAGAATGATGATTGAAATTAAAGAGTTTCCTCCCTTTTTACCCTAATCCTGTGAATGGATTTTATATATGAAAGAATGTTGTTAGAATAAGAACAGATCTTATGATCAGTGTTTAAGTATGCTAGAATGTTGTTAGAATAAGATTTTATAATGAACCTGAAGAACAGATTTTAGTTACGAATGAATGGCTTTAGAATAAAATTTTATGATGAAGTCAAAGACAAACTTTTCATTCAGTAAATAATGTAAATAATTCTGATTTGCTGTTTTGGCAAGAATGTACTTATATAAATAGCAGTAGTTATGTCATGAGCTGTCATTTATCAAACGATTCAGAGGCTAAGAGAGAGGCACGATAACGCGCTTTGCGTTATGGTTTTGAGTTTTTGCACCCCCTCGCAAATGGCAAAAATCATGCAGTTTTCAACATTATAATCAAAATGCTTAACCAATATCAAACATATACCATCGGTCAGATATGCTACAAATCGACTCAAGCAGCCCACTATTACACCCTCCCCCTTCCCTGCACACACATAATATTGTTTTTTGGGAGCCCCCACAGGATCTTGTTCTTCAAGCAAAATCATTTGTTTAACTATTAATAACAAACTGTATTGTTTTAGTAAGGAATAGATTTTTGTATTTAAAAAAGTAAATTAAAAAAAAAAGAAAAGAATTTTGTATGTTGACTAGTTGAATTATAGCTAAAAGCATTTTGCAATAAATGGTTTAGATACCGGTATAAGTGTATGCCAGATATTAAATATGTATTATTTGTATATAGATAAGCTAAACTTACAATTTACTATTAAGTGAAATGTAACTTGTTTGTAATAAAGCATTTACCATGTGTAGTAAAAGGAGTTTTGGGGGGTTTTTTTGGCATAGAAGGTTAGATAAAAAAAAATGAATAATGTAAAAAGAAGACGCTGAAAATTTCAGTCCAATTACATCACTCTGAGCCAAGAAAACCAAATTTCAAAAACACTGTAGTCTTGATTATCCATTTTAACGGTTAATCATGAACAGCCTTTGAATCGCAGATCGGATTTAAGTCTGTTTAAAATCGTACCCATCAAATGGCACTGAGAGTTGATTATGGTCTTGTCTTGTTAATAAGTGTCTAATTGATAGTTTATATAACATTTCAGGCGTAAAGAAAGACATGTAATAGACAGATTTAGCTCTTGGGTTAATCGTCTAACAGTCCTACCTATTGCTTCACACAGAACATGAAAAAAAAAAAATCTAATAAAAAAAAAGGGAGTTTTGGGAGGGGGGGGGGGGTGAACAGAAGATCACAGTGACTACATTTACAAAATAAATATAGCACATAATATAATAACATACAAGATAGGTTGCAATATTTGTAAATATATGCTGGTTGTCTCTTTAAACTTTAAGCATGATGGGACAGGAAGCCTATTATGGGCGGCCCACCAATGCTTAAAAGACATTTTGCACCACGTGTGGAGTATTCTGCCCAATTTGTGGTTTTTCGTATTTTGCTCATAAGTTTACTAATTATAGACATAACCTGATAAAAACAAGTTAAAGAACAGAATATCATCAGTAGATTAATATAATTCAACTCGACAAATTCTGTCCTCTTTTGCGTGTCTTGTATTTCTTCTCTTTTAAACACGTTTGAATCCATACAGGGAGGGTTTGGCCGCATCTGAAGTTTACATTAATTTGTATCGATTTCTTACCACCACCTATTATGACTGGAATATATTTCATTTGTATCTAACATCGAAGCCAAATTATTATTGAATCGAATATAGGCCTATTGCTTGTTTTTATCTAATCTGTGTGGAATTCGAATAAGGAACATTTTTATCGTAGGGTTTGGTCTTTTGAAGCACATTTATCTCGTTCGTTCGTTCGTTCGTTCATAAAGCTCAATGACCGCCCCCCACCTAGGGTGATATCGCAGACAGTATATATTGATCTTAAATGGGTCATACCTAAGTATTAGTATGCCAGAATTAGGCCTGCATCTCACGTTTGTGGTAGAAATGTGCAAACTAAGCTTTCTCGGTTTTAAATGATAGATTACACTCAGTAGTGTTACAGAAAAAAACGCCCCATCAATTGGGCGATTGGAAGGGTACCACCAACTGATTTACCTGGTATCCGACCTGCGTTTTTATACGCCCACATTTTCATGTGGACGTATATTGTCGTCGCCCCTGTCCGTCCTCAAATTGTTTATGGACACTCTACACTGTTAAAAAGGATTGGGTCGAATCGACCCAAAAAATATGGGTCAAATCCGACCCAAGAGTATAGGGTACATACATGACCGACCCAAAAAATATTTTTGGGTCACTTTGACCCAATAAATTTAGGTCGCATTGACCCAATAAATTTGGGTCGCAATGACTTAAAATTATTGGGTTAAAGGGAGCCAAATTTCTTGGGTCGGTCATGTCTGTACCCTATACTCTTGAGTCGGATTTGACCCATATTTGTTGGGTCGAAATTGAGATTGGTCGCTCTTCGTAGGTGACATTTGCGTTTTCAGAAATGCAAAATGTGATGAGTGGCCTTGGGTTGAAGTTAAATCACAAGACTGAAACAGAAAAAAAGACAGAAAGATTTTTAATTTCAATATGGGAAAATATTATAGCTTCCTCTTAATAATATGCTTTGGTCTAAGGCTCGGTAATAATCACTTGGAATGCTGGAACACTGGTATTGGTAGTCGCCGTCAGATGCAAATGCAAGTAAGGCCGTGGTGACGATGATGGCGAGTTGGCGACCCCGGTCATCCTCGCGTTAAGGAGCAGGCTACTTCACCATCCACCTCTTCAGGCTCTTGGAGTCTTGGTCTGAAAATGGATAAGAGAAGTTAAACAGGGCAATTCCATGCAAATGTGGACATGGTTAGTAAAAAATGAAACAGCAATTAGAACCATTTTTTATGTTTGTCTGGTCTATATATTCTTTAGGGTTTGGAATTGTAAAGAAATTGTAAAAATTCTAGTGAACTTTTTATATAGCACCATTATTGTTTACCTTGACATATATAGTAATATCATATTAACTGATTTGTAGCTATATAATGCTTTTGATCTAAAAGTTCCTAATTACTAATTTAAATAATTTTTTTCTGAAATAGAAACTATAAATCTTCTCCTTAATGAAAATAATAACAACAAATGTTGATATTCAAATGAGTCAGTTTTATAGTATATAATACGAAGTACATGGCACTCGTAACGTGAGTAACACAAAAAATGGAAAAACAATGATGGTTGAATTTTTTTATGGTTACGTCAGCCATATTTTCTATAGAATAATTCAGGGGCGGATCCAGGAATTTTTGCAGAAGGGGGTTGCCAGGTTCCTGAGACAGTGTATCCCCCCTCCTCCCACATGGTCTCTATCGCCATTTTGGCGTATATACATACACATTGAGCTTTTTAAACAGAGAAATACAACACCTCGTTTGACGTCAATTTTTATTATGAATTAATACAATGACAATGTGATTCAATTTCATGGATGCAAAACATTAATTGTGATATCACATAATGTCTATATCATTATCTCGTGCTTTAAGTGCCCATCCTATCCCACATCTGAAGATAAAGGATAAAGCACACGGCCGAGAAACTTTTCTCATAAAAAGTGTTGATTTACAAAAAAATTTATGTAGCTGAGCAGGGGGGGGGGGGGGGCGTCGACCCCTGAATAACCACTATTGATCATGTACCTAAAATAAAATGATTCAATATAAAATGTCATATATTCTCCATATACTGGCACCTACAAATTTGTAACGTGAGTAACAGAATTATTTAAGTAACGTGAGTAACGCAATATGTGATGTGATTAACACACTTTACCTCTATATATTTCAGCTAGAATTATTTTTATACGCACACATTTTCATGTGGACGTATTATACCATGGTCCCTGGACACTTCACAGGTCACAATTTTTATCCAACTTTAACGAAATTTGAAATATAGGTAATCTCCCAAAGATCTCAGTTCCTTTCGATATTGGCATGTATCGGACCATAACTTTATGGATTATGGCCTTTAATTGTACGAAAAATCATGTTTTTAGCTTGTGGACACTATACAGGTAACAATTTTCATCTGATTTGATGAAACTTGAACTGCATGTTTATAATCCAAAGATCTTGGTTCCTTTTGATATTCGCGCATATCGGATTGTAACTTCCCGAATTATGGCCCCTGGTTGTACGAAAAATCAGGTTTTTAGCTTGTGGACACTCTAAAGGTCACATTTTTCATATGATTTTGATGAAATTTGAAATGTATATTTATAACTTAAAGATCTTGGTTCCTTACGATATTCGCACATATCGGATTGTAACTTCCTGAATTATAGCCCTTGATTGTACGAAAAATCGAGTTTTTAGCTAGTGGTCCCTCTACAGTTAATAAGAATTTTTATCCTATATAAAAAAAAACAGTTTGAATATATCACTACATGTTACACACTATATCGGATCGTAACTTCCCGAATTATGGCTCCTGATTGTACGAAAAGTCACGTGGTGGACATTGTATTATTATTATTCTAAATGAACTTGAACATACACTTTAATAAATTGAAATTAAAATTTTTGTAAGCTTATATTTCGAAGATTTTAGATAACTTTGCACTGTTTAAGTAAACCTACCAACAGTTCGTTGAATAAGTGACTTAAAGTACTAATAGATAGTATTTTCTGTGGTTGGATTTATTTGAACTTATCCTGAAACATGTCATCACTTATAAAGTTTTATTTATAAGTATTCTTTAGTTTTGATTTTACAATATGAATGTAACGTGAGTAACAACATTTTCTACACGCTTCATCAAAAAAATCAGATCCTTTTCATATATTCATACTTTATTGCAAAGAAATAACGTAATAACATCCATACCTATTGCAATAAATACTTATTATAAATAAGAGATTAGACTTGAAGGTAATATTTATGTGCAAACAAAACATCAAAATTTTGGTGTCCATTTCATGTAACGTGAGTAACACCATGTTTTTCAGATGTCACCAAAAAAATGATTTCATTTTTGTTCAAATTCTATCTTATTATTTCCTTCCATTATTGATGGATGCCCATACACAATATTTAACATATCAATGTAGATTGTTGTTTGTACAGGTCACAATTTTTATCCGATTCTGACGAAACTTGAAGTATAGGTTTATCTCCCAAAGATCTCGGTTCCTTTCGATATTGGCATGTATCGGACCATAACTTCGTGGATTATGGTCCCTGATGGTACGAAAAATCACGTTTTTAGCGTGTGGACACTCCAGGGGTCACAATTTTGATCCGATTTTGATGAAACTTGAATTGCATGTTTATACCCCAAATATCTTGTTTCCTTTCGATATTCGCGCATACCGGACCATAACTTCCTGAATTATGGCTCTTGATTTTACGCAAAATCGCATTTTGAGCTTGTGGTCCCTATAGAGGTCACAATTTTTATCTGATTTTAAAAAAAAAACTTTTAGTATATCACCGTTACACCCTAATGACGGTTGAGTTCGAATTTGCACGCAAATAGTGTAAAAATATGGTATATCAAGGTTGTGGACCCTCTAGAGGCCACAGTTTTTATCCGATTTGAATAAAACTTTAAATCATGTTTTTATCATAAAGATCCTAGTTCCTTTTGTTAATCACACATATCCGAACGTAACTTCCTGGATTATG